ACAGCTAAATGTGGGCCAAGAAAAATGTATGTATGGACTGGATGGGTTGTTACTGACATCTGATGAAAAGTCAGAAGAACTTTTATAAATATATTTACTTAGAAAATTTGTAACACGTTTAATGCTTATTTTACCGGCTGTACATAACCAACACATTTTACCTCACAGCAACACCCTGTGCTATCAGAACACTTCCTCGCAATAGTTATGATTAGTATTAAAATTATTAATAAAATATATTCTTTACACTGAGGAGATGATCGTTATTCTCTCACTGATAAATTCAAAAACGGGCGAAAAAACAGCAAGAAATGTGTAGGAGTCAACAGTGCTGATCAGACCAATCTGTCAATCTGCTGTCAACTCGATGTGTTGTTACATCAGGTTACATGTAAGGTCACAGCATAGATTTCCCATTGAAGCATAAACTGGGAATGAGAAGTGAACCATCTTAATATTGCAGTAAAACCAGAGTTAATCCTGTAGTTACCTGGATGAGACTAAATCCTGGTTCTCAGTGCAGACCTCTGATCACTGATGATGGAGGAGAAGAAAAACAAATCAGGCTGAATGTAAAACATTTGCTCTGTAGGACTGAGGACTTTGTTATCACCACTGGGTGATGGCACTGGTGCCTCACAGCAACAAGGTCCTGGGTTTGAATCCAGCACGAATTTTACACAAAACACAACATGTTTATTGTGAATATACGTTACAGGGCAAGTTTTAAAATTGCGTTTTGTGACTTTTTTTGCAATGTCTCTGGTGTATAAATGCCTCAAGTCTTAGTATATCACTTAAAACTTTATTTACATAGTACTTCTCATACAGTAAAGAAGACACTCAAAATGATGTACACATTAGAAGCAAAAAACAATACACATACATCACCTTCACTACGCCCTCTCATCACCCTCCATCCCCACTCCCACACCCAGAGATCAGCACTCACTTAGCATACAGAAACACAGGAGATGAAAAAGAAATGATAAATAACATAACAAGGCTACTAAGGACAGATTAAATATAATAAAAAAGTGAAAAAACAAATGGTGCAAAAAAGGAAATAAATGAATAGTGAATTACAATAAAGAGACACAAAACCATAAAATGGAAAAAGAAACGTAAAAGATTTTTAACATTCTAACATTTTAAACTTTATCCTGGCTTCTATGGTCAACCATAGGGGCGATCTTGGCTCAAGAGTTGGCAGTTTGTCTCGTAATCGGAAGGTTGCCGGTTCGAGCCCCGGCTCCGATAGTCCCGGTCGTTGTGTCCTTGGGCAAGACACTTCACCCGTTGCCTACTGGTGGTGGTCAGAGGGCCCGGTGGCGCCAGTGTCCGGCAGCCTCACCTCTGTCAGTGCGCCCCAGGGTGGCTGTGGCTACAATGTAGCTTGCCATCACCAGTGTGTGAATGTGTGCGTGAATGGGTGGACATTCACCCATTCACGCACACATTGGTGGATGACTGGATGTGTAAAGCGCTATATAAATACAGGCCATTTACCATTGACCAGCTGCTGAAGAATTGGGATGATATGGTCTCTAGTACGAGTAACCTAAACTTATCAGACGGTGTGGAGCTGTTACCATGCTGATATAATGAAATGTAACTCAAACATGTTCTGATATTAAACTAAACAATGAATTCACTTTCAGTCAAACAAGTCAGTCAGAGTCCTGCTTGCTGCTCTTCCTCAGCCCCGCTTCCAGTCCCTGAATCAAAATACAAACTAAAGTCTGTCCACTTGTTGTTTAACTTTCCTATTTTTCAGATTTCAGATTGAAAATAAGAAAAAATGAAAGAAATGGGAAGGACAGCTGCTGTGTTTGTGTGTGCAGAGTTTCTACCAGAGCCAAATGTCATCTACTCCTCACTGAAGTCGTCCACCAGTCCAACCACTGGGATCCAGCTGCTGCTCTCTAACTGGTCCACACAGCAGCTCAGACCTGACACATTCACTGTAAACACATCTATCTATCTTTTTATATTGTTTTTAATGTGCTCAGAATCAGAATCAGAATCAGAAAGGGTTTTATTGCCAAATGTTGAGCAGGTTTACAACATTAGCAAATTGCTGCGGTGCTTAGTGCAAACATACTGTCATAAATAAATAAGAATAAGAACTAGAAAGTGCATTTTCTGAAGAAACTGCAGTGTGAATGCTTGAATCTGAATGTATGCACTGAAATGAATTAATTGCTGAATATTAAGTTAAAATGTTGAATGAGATGAAAAATACAGAAATTTGCACCTGAAAACAAAAGTGCTGAACTGCTAAAAGCTGACAACCACAGAGAAGAAGTTGGAAAATAGCTGAAAATGTTTTAATTGTAAATTAAAACCTAAGAAATGAGAAAAGAACATTTAGAGTCAGAAAACATCTGAATGAATATTAAAAGTTCATATTCTTTGAATCACTGAATGACTAAAATGTGATCCCTCCACTTGGATCCACACAGTTTAAAAAGTTTAAATGTCTGAGCTTTCAAAGACACAGTGTTGGGAAGAGAACAATGATGGCGACGTTTTGAGGGTAAAATGATGGCTGTGACACTGTGGACACAGCAGCAGTTGAAAGAGAAGTGCTTCAGATGAATCTTGGTACAGTGGCAGGCAGAGCTCGTTAAGCAGGCAGGTGTGAGCCTGGTTGCTATAGTGACCGCACCCAATGGCTCCATACACACGTACACAGACATGCGCCTCACTTTTGCTGCTTAAAATGAACAGAAAAGTCAGGCCCAAACAAATCGTTCCCAAATGAAAAGTACAAGTCGTATTGACGAAATTCTTTCACCGTGAGTGACAGCAATGTCTAGTCTACCAAATTCTCAGTTTTCATGCCTGTGGAGTTTATTATATTGACGTGGTGACAGTGGAAAGACAGCCTGTACTTCTGGTTTTCAAACGAACTTTCTGAGCCATTTTAACATTAGAGTCTATGGAAGAGTTGGAAGGAGGAGGCTGTGCATTGGTGACATTAACGAAAGAACCATAACACCTATTACAAAAATAAACACATTGGATGAAAGAGGACAGCGATGGCTACGTTTTGAGGGTAAAATCATACCTGTTGAGCAAACACTGTGAACACAGCACCAGTTTAAAGAGAAAATTTCAAAATTAATTTTTTTGCTCTCTCACTCTAGCCCCAACATTCCGTCCCATACACACCCATTATAAACTCTGAAACGGCTGAAAAAACATCATGAAACTTAAACTGGAACTGAAGAAAAAGTATAATAGATATTGAAAAGATAAATACAAAGATAAATACAATACTGGGATGCGGGGCCTCCTGCTACTGCAGATAAGGAGGTGGTCCGCTTGCCTCCACCCCAGAGAGAAGGGTTACATCTCCTGGGTCTAGGTGCGGTTTGCCCCTCTGAGGGCGGGGGTACCTGGACCTGGGATATAGAGTATGTTAGGGGAATGCGACTGTCTGTGCAGTGTCTATTTGTGTCTGTCTACACGTTGGGTGAGTGCCGAGTATTTGGTTATGCATATGGGGTGGGAATGCATGTTTGTGTCCGCGTGCGCCTGTTCGTCTGTGTCTATATGTCAGGTTGGGTCTTAGACTCAACCTCTCTGGGTACATCTCAGGCCCTCTAAAGTATGGAGGCCTATCTCCCCTTACCACACTCTCTGCCGGTGGCTGATGCCCTCAGACGTTGGTGTGTTGGTGGTCCTTGTCGTCTGGGGCTGGGCGCTCATGTATGTACCGGCTCACTCCTGGTGGCCGATTGGCGGGGCCTGGCGCCTGTGGCCCGGCTGGGCCCGTTCCGGGGGGTGGGATGCCCTCAGGCCTCTGGCCTCTGGGCCTGAAGCTCGGTCCTCTCTGGCACAGCTGACTGCCGGCGGAGCCCGCGGGTACGCCACTGCAACCCCTCTGGCCTCTGCTCAGTAGCTGCTGGGTGACCTCTCATTTGGGGCTCTACTCAGCTCTTCCCAGGAGGGTGGCACGGTTCCCCCCCCCCTTTTGGTGGTCCTCCTCGGGTCCTTGTACTCTGGGGGCCTCTGGATGTCTGGAGTTTTGATCTCCTCCATACCTGCTTCATACCCTGGTGGACGGGGCTGTGGCTCCCCACACCCTCTAGCTGATCGTTACATGGAGAAACCTTTGGAATACAAGCATGCTGATCCACACAGGTATGCACACAGTGTACACACGGGTGTTCACAGACACGGACTACACTTTTCTTGGCTGCTGCCTCAAAGCACATTGTGCGCTGTCTATCTTGCGTACTGCACAATATCATTTAATATCTACTGTTATGTACTGCTAGCTAGTTTATTGTGATGGTGCTGTTTTTTATTATGTTGCTTGCTTTCTCTTCTGTTTTTTTCTCCATACAGGTGATCCAGGTGTTTTGTTTGTTTTTCTTTCTTTCTCCCCCCTTTCTCACGTCTCTTCTCCCCTCTGTTTTTCTTTCTCTCCCTCTCTTTCTTTCATTCTTTCTCCCTGTCCTATCCCCCAGTCATGTCTGTCCCGTTTGTAGCAACCAAAAATAAAATAAATTCATACTTATAATAAAGGTCAATCAAATGGACCAATATGGCAAGGCCATGATGATCCACTTGGTAAAATAAATCCGCTTGGCATCTTTCTTGGCCTTGAGACAACAATTCTGATGGCTAAAGATCCAAACGGGACACAAAAAAAAGCAAGAGTATAAAACTTGACTGCATGCTGAGGTGGCAACCCTAACCTTCATTCACTCATGAGCTGCTGTAACATGAATCAAATGGCTGAATTGCCTCCTCAACATGCAGTCAAGTTCTATAATCTTGCTAATGACATACTAATTGTAGTCATTTGTGTTGCAACAGGGACACATGGAAAAGTTTCAGGACAGCGGCTCTCGAGGACTGGACTTCGAGACCCCTGGTTTAAACGCTACGATGACGAAAAATAACAAGCATATTAAAGTCTAGATGTTTGAGGACAGCTGGAGTCGGTATCCAGAGTTTGTGTGTGTGTGTGCGTGTGTGTGTGGGTTACCTTGGAGGCAGCCCAGTCGATCCAACCCTTGGCACACGGGTCAACGTTAATCAGAACTAAACCCTCCACCAAACTGGGCTCATTCAGCTGAAACACAACAACAACCGTCATCAGTTACATCATCTTCATCATCATCATCAAGACTGAAAACCAGCGACCCTCCTGTCCCGTCCTGTTTGCTACTGCCAGTTTGGTGAGGACGTATGCTCCGGCTCCAACGCCGATACCAATCACGCTCTTTATGCTGATGATGTCACACAGATACACATTAGGGTACGCTGTCTGTCTGAAATTACCCATCATGCACTTGACTGAACAGAAGACAGCAGACTTACTGAAGCTGGGTCATGACAGATGGCAGCATCTCAGCCAGCTCATCCATGCTGGGATACTGGTACCTACACACACAGTCATGTTTACATCACTTCAGAGGACATCACACCCACTCTGGGATGGAGTAACTCACATCTGACACACAGATGTGTGTCAGATAGTGTGTCAGTGTCAGATAGTCTTCGCTTGTGTAGAACAGAACTTTTGAGAGACGGGGAACCTCGGGGAGAAGCTTGTAAAGAAGACAGCACTGCCACTGACTTCTATAAATAACTGACGACTGGAGAATAGTTGAGTGGGTTATTATTTTGTCAAGACAGAGACCATCGTAGGCGGTGTGTGTGTCATTTTACTTCCAAAAGATGGAAGGTTGTCTTCAGGTTGTTTTGTTGCTTTAATTAATTTATTATCAGCAATAATATAAAATTATGCACAAAAGGGTTAGGTAATGTAAAAAACAACAACAACAACAACAACAACAAAAAACATGTGGTTTTATTTATGTATGTTTATATATAAACAATACTCTAAAACAGTATGTACCCCTGAGAATTTGAAGGGTCTCTCCATTGAAATACATGGGAATTTTTGTTGAATAAAGTTGAATAATTTTAAAAATATAAATGTCAAAAATGAGAAAATAGAAGCAGTCATGTCCAAAAGAAGAGGAATCTAACAGTGTTTGAATGGTTTTGAAGGAGAAAGAGTACAAAAAACGTACGGAATCTATAATAATAAAATAGAATAAAGATTACAACAACAATACTGTGAATGCTTTACAAGCATTCACACTAATTAAAAGTGCTAAGTAGATAGATATATACATGAGTGCAGGTGGTGATCAGTGCCAAACATGGAATGATGCAGTGAACAGAGCGTAGGGTCATGTGTTAGTGGTGGGAACAGTGGCTCGCTCTCTCTCCTGTCATGGTGCTTTCAGATCATCTCCTTCTTTGCTTCTTCATCATGAAGAGGAAGAGGAAGATCATTCTTCGACTGTTTAAAGAACACAACAGCGACCACAACAATGATCACAGCAAGTAGCAAACCAAAAACTACCGCTCCATAATGATGATTCCTACCAACTCCATCCTCCTTCCCTCCATCCTCTGTGTGTCCTCCTGTCTGACCTGCAGGTGAGAAACAGGTGTGAGGTGTGAGGTGTCAGGTAGGTGATGAGTGAAGAACAGAACAGAATCCATTTCCTCTTCAAACTGCTGTCAGACATTATCTACTGCACTCTGATCACATCACTCAGACCAGCTGCTTTCTACAAAGTCTCATCAACAACATCTTTAGAAACAAACATCAACAACCAGGAAGCAGCTTCACCTCTGATCACACACACACTCAACTCTACTCACTCACCTGGAGGATCAACACTCAGGTGGATGATGTGGATGGGGTCAACACCTCGCTTTCTGCGGTTTGCGAGGACACGACACTCATATGTTCCAGTGTCATTAATTTTAACATCATGCAAAATCAAAGTCAGATTTCCATCCTTTATCTCAAGTTGTGTTCGGTTCTTAAAAGATGGATTCTGACTGTGTTGATCAAACTGTTTATCCTGGTACAAAAGGACACATTCTGGGTTGAGGTCAGGTCTGCTCCACTCTACCACTTTGATGTTGCTCGCAACTGGACATGGTAGACAGGCAGTTTCTCCAGACTTAGCCTTGACCTCTATTGGCTCTGTAAACAACACAAAGCATGCACAACCATTTACTTCTACAGAAACTCCAGAAGGACCACTGAGCTCTGCTGAAGTGAACCAAAGTGGAAACTTTGTGCACTGAAATTATGCACACTTGTTAATCCCTGCCAACTACCCAGACAGTTTACTGACAGACAGACATTCATGGCCATGAAACTGTATCATTGAAAGTACAAAATATTCCAAATCAAATTCAGTCCATTATCTGCAAGCCTGCAGCTGATCCTTTTATAATTAGCCTGAATTTCCCCACCTTATATGAAAAAATTTTTTTTTATAAAAGATTACGGGCGACCGGTATTAGTTGCTCTGTGGTCTTCAATTTGTCATTAAAAATGCTCTAATATCTCACTGCATTAAAAGTAGCTTGAAATATAAAACATTTCAAGGCTGCTGTTAGACTTGGTGTGGTAAATGCCAAACTGCAGTTGGACTAACAAAATTTATAATTTATTTTTATTTTTTAGGTGTGTTTTGTATTTATTTAAAATTGACAGTTTTCAGTAAAGATTGTCCTTCTTCTTGGATGTTGGGGAACTTGTCTCTATTTTCTTTCTTTCTTATCATAATAACATAAAGTGAGAAAATGTGTTGTTACACGGAAGCACTCTTTTTTTTTTCAAAGACGTCCATAATAATAACAGCTTCACTGTGCAGTGTAATTACAAAGGTGATGAATTGTTGTCTGGATTTTTTCAGAAGGGTGTGTTCCATGTACTTAGGCTTGGGTTCAGCAGGATACCAAAGACATCTGGTGTAACAACAACGTAACACGTAACAACAGCCTCCATTCCTCTGATCTAAGGGACTTTTATCCACTCTAAAGGTCCGTGGAGGAGGGGATATTCCGAGCGCTTCTCTTCACTAGCTCCTTCTTGTCTGTGGTTAGATCTCAAAGTCTCATCCGCTTTCTGACATGACAGAATTGTTTTTTTGACAAGAAACTGTAGTATCGGGTAAATGATAGGAGGTGGGAACGTTTGTGCTGGGTTCTTGTGGGGAGGGGTTGAGAATAATAAAGGATACTCGCTGGCGTAATGGCGAGTCTCGTGTGTAGTTCAGTAAGATAACATCAACAACCTCCAATGACGGAACAGAAAGTCCTGAATGTCTTCGTCTGCATTCAGCACAATCAAAACTACTATTGTGAAACAGTACTTCACAGGAAAAAAAGGACAGAATAAATAATCTTACGTGCAGATGTAAGCCCCAAGAAGACGACACCTGGTAAAGTCAACAGCAGAGATGTTAAAGCCGCCCTTCCCATGTCCGCTTCTGCAGAGCAGACTGATGTTGAAGCTCACCAAATGTCTGTAAGTCACTGATAGTCACAGTGAGTGTGCCTTTATATAGGGAGAGAGAGGGGAGCTCTCTCTCCCTGGCGATCTCTAGCGGTCGTGTACGAAAGGGCGTGCGATTAAAGTGTTCGACTTGAACAGATGATATCTCAGTCTTCATCGTTAGTTACGCTGGTGCAATATAAAGTATGATTCTGTTTACTCTGAATTAGTTAAACATTTTTTTTTGCTTTATACCAGGAGTATTTCATTAAAATTTAAGACATTCCAGTTCTTTGCAGCAGTTTAAAATAGGCTCAGTCATGCAGTATTATAAAAAATAATGATGGGAAACCAGTCAATCAGTCTGCAGAGACTTCAGCAAACTATGCAAATCTTATTTTTTTTAAATATATCTTTTAAGACGAATCTGCTTAAATTCAAAGTTACCATGGAAATTTTCATCTACACCCATGTAGGCCAGCCTAAAAGTGTTAAGATTTTTTTACATTTATTTTATATCACATTTACATAAATATTAAGACCTTTTTGAGAAAAAAAACACACTTGAATTTCAGCTCAGGACCCTTCCATTTCTTTATCATTGCTGAGATGGTTCTGCACCCTTAACTGGAATCCATGGTACACTGAACTATAATTTATTACCCATTGTTTAAAAATTGTGTAAGCCATTTATTACAGAGTCTAAGAGACTATTAAAATGTAGCAGACAAGTTAAGAAAAGTCAATACAGCATTGTACTACTACTACTGACTAATCCACAGAAGTACTAAATGTGTTGGCAATGTCTTGAGGAACATTAATCTAAATGTCTGTCGTATTATGTTGTTATTGTTTGTCATGACTTGAGTGTCATTCTGCAAATGGGGTATGCTTCTGCTTTATTTGATGGCCTCTACCCATGAACTACACTTAAGGTCTCAGAAAATACGCGAAATACAAGTTGCCACCATAAAAATGGTGCCAGTAAGGAATATCTTTATTACACGTTGACTGGCCCAGGTCTGAAGGCTGATGAGGAACTGGCTTGGGTGTGAAGCTGTTGCTCTCATAGGTCCAAGCTTCCTCTTTGATGGTATAACAGAGGAGGTAGGCTCAAACAGGTGGATTGTGGCAGCAGCATCTTTGGATGCAAGCCGCTGTTAAAAATGAAAGACGTTTCAGCATGCTGTTCTGCCTGTAAAATGTTGGTCATAAAGTCTATGGAGATTAAATGGTATTAAATACAAAAAAAAAAAGGAAAAGCTTACACACTTTGATGTGACATGGAAATGTTTAAAAATTATTTCATTTTTTTTTTTTTTTTTGCTACTGGTAGGAGCACTCATTTTTGAACTGCTCCTGTGGATTGTATTTGAGTGTAGGAATAAATGACTTATATCACTGACTGGACTGGAGGACCTTTTGAGATTTCCTCACCAGCAGGTGCCTGTCTCTGTAGGAACCTGAACAAATGTGTTGGCAATACATATCATTTTCATGACACTGCCAAAATCACCTTTGAAGTCTGTCACAAGTATGTCATAAAAATACACACAGACATGGCATGTTCAGTTTCAAAATCTCTAAAACCACAATTTTCCTTGAATTGAGGCACACTGGTGCATCTAGAATCCATCTCTATAATGTACAAAAAATATAGCACCTGTACAGAAGTGTAAAAATGTAAAAAATAAAGATTTTTTTGTGTGTATTGCAGGCCCCTGCAGAAATGTTACTACTACTACTAATAATAATTTATAATTATTAGAACAAGTACATAGAGCCTGATCATAATTGCAGAGAGTAAAATATGCAATACATATGTAATCATGCTTTTGCTTGTTATGAGTAAGTCAGCCAATCATGTCATGTGATACACTCTTTTGCCACAAGGCGTCACTGCTGGTCTTTCCAAGTCTGGTAGTGGAAATTGAAATGTGCAGCGCAAAGAACAGCACAAACATTAACCGTAGGAGCCCATAATACTTGTTGTTGAACATATTTTGACACTGTCCCCTGTTTACAGCATACAGCTTTGGATAGTGCCTGCCGACTACCAGTACAGTGATTGGTGGGGACTCCATAGGAGCTGGTAATAGCATGAAGTAAAGTCACCAACGATAAAACTGCTAGTTTTAGGTTATTTAGGCTAATTCTGGCTGTGCATTTTTATTTAAATAAAATGAGTAAGAAAATGCGAAAGAAAAAATAAATTTAATGTGACAAATACTTGCACACACTCACACGCACATAGACAGAGAGAACAAGAGTGACATTAAGGAAGTGGGCGGGCTCTCGTTGGTAATATTAACAAAAAAGGTGTAAAAAAATCACAAAACTGAGAAGTGCTATGGAGGAAATTTCATTACAATTTCAGTTCTGTAAGCATTTTATTTACATGTTATGTGTTAAATTCAGTGTTTTAGTTATTAAAATACAACAATTTTTGGAGAAAAATAACAACAGTTATGCTGTCAGTGAATGAAAACTCTGTTTCTCTGAAGATGGAAATATAGAGGGCATGATCTATAATCTCTATTTTATTATCTCTGTGATACCACTTTATTTATTTGTTTTGCCATAAAGTTAAGTTAAGTATGTTAATTAACCGTGTGTCATTTATCTTTAGTTCTGATCTCATGGCTGCTCTGCTTAACAAACCAAGGTCAGTAACCTTCTATCACAGTTTAAATCTTTTTAATTATTCTTCTACTCCCCAGGTTTGAGGCTTTCAATAGGAATCTTCAGAGCATACATTTTTGCTCCTCAGAGCAGAAAAGTGCAGGAGTTACTAATAACAAATAAACTAAATTATGAATTTAGGTTAGCTAATTTAGGTTCTCAGGTCTTGGGATTGTGCTTGTGATCTTAATATTAAGTCCTACTAGAACGGTTTTCATGTTGTGTTCTGGTCAAATTTAACCCATTTAAAAGTTTTATCTCTTAAACAATGTAGTTAATTTGATTAGACTGACCTAAGATTCCATGAGTTTGTCCACAAAAATGATTTCTTAACATTTTCAAAAAAATGTGAAGCTTTGATGTGTAATACTATTTTGAGACATGCCTCAAAAAGTTTTCAGTTCATTATGTAGCAGCTCCAATACACTATAAATGAGGCTCTTTTCTAGATATTTGATCACTACACTAGTGAGGAGGAGAGCGAACGGCACCTGACTGAGTCTATCAAAACCATAATGGTAAATGCGACTTACAACATCAAAGCATACACGAGTCTTAATTCTAAGTGGTGTTTAGAAATGAATCTATCAGGAGTTTATGGTATGCAGAGTCTGGTCAGACAATTTCTCGGGCAACTACAACACTTCATGTTGTTATGGATGATTTGCTTGTCCTTGGTCTTGTGATACGAGACGAGGCTGTCGTCAATAAGACAAACTGGCAGTGATCACAGGCAAGTATGTGGCGTGCCAGTCACTTATCTAGGTCCTAAATTCAAATTCAAACATCATGGTGGATGAGTGCCTGGTCATTTTTAGGGAGGATTGTCCTTTCATACAATATATGCCAAGCAAACAGTTTAAATATGGCATGAAGATATGGGCAACATGTGGGCAACAAGTTATGCTTGGAACAATATGTCTGTGAAGGGTCTCAGTCATCCAGGTCATCGTAGTCAAAGGAGCTTGCAAAGAAAAGCGTCTGGACTTCTTTAACTTACTTGAAGACGTTTCACCTCTCATCCGAGAAGCTTCTTCAGTTCTAAGGTCAAATGGTGGAGAGTCCCAGATTTAAACCTAGTGGGAGTAACCCCCCACAGAGGGACAAAAGGACCCCTGATGATCCTCTAATCGCCTGAGCCAAGGTGTGAAACTGGGTGTGAAACTCTGGGCCAATCAGCCAGAGTTTCACTCATTGTGTTTACATGATAAGGTGGGGCCAGGTTTCACATGAACTTACTTTTTTTCATATAGCGCCATGAGGTTGAGATAGTTGAGGTTTTCTGCAACAAATGAAATTGTATTTTACATGATGATCACACTTTTTGTTTGAGCTGAAACATGTATGTGTGAGAAATTTGCAAAAAAAAAAAGAGAACTCAGTAAAGGGGCAAATATTTTTCACAGCACTGAAATAACATTAAAAACATATCAAATGTTTAAAAATTATTTAATAATTTAAAATGGGAAACTAGACCATTTTTAAGACAAAAAAGTCACTTAAATTTGATGGCAGCAACCTAGATCAAAAAAGTTGGCACGGGCTACCTTTGACATATCCCCTCTTTTATTAACAACCGTTCATGAACCGTTCATGGGAACTGAGCTGCTGGAATTTTATAGTTGTGGTTTTTGGTTTCTAGTTTAGTGAACCTCTGCCAATCTTAACTTCTGGAAAGAAATTCTGTCTCTCTAAAATGCTCTTTTTACACCCAATCATGTTAATAACCTGTTGCCATTTAACTTTTGCAACTAATTTGTTGCAAAATCTCCTCCAGCTGTTTCTTTTTGCGACCACTTCCTTTTCCTGGCTGTTGTCCAAACTTTTTTGAGACCTGATGCTGTCATCAAATGTCTCTTTTTTAGAATTTCATTAGTTTTCTATGTTGTATTATGAAAAAAAAAAAAACCCACTTGTTTAAGAGACTGAAGAAGTCACTTAGATGATTGGTAAAACATTTTTCCCAACAAAAATTTACGCGTCTGGATGAACAGAATAATTTATTCATTTATTTATTATTATTTATAATTAATTAATTAATTATTCAATCAATGCATGGATTCATAAAATTCCATGATCTGTTATTTGCATCAGACTTAAGTTACTGTTTCTAGATCTCATCAATGATTTATGTTGAAATTTAGGGGGATGACAGTATTGATGCAACTACATGACTTTATCATCTCTATGCTTGTGGTTATGGCCCCCAAAATCACAAAAAAACATTGTACAGTTTTATATGAGCTGCTCATTCTTTAGATTTGGTGAAGGGTTTCTGTGATTGAATGAATTTGCAATTGTATTAACATTATAAGAAAGATGATTTTTCATTTTAACACTTCACAGCTCGTCTGACTGTGAGTCCCAGCAGCTCTCAGTTCTTTATTAGAGACTTTGTGTCTCTGAGCTGTGAGGAGGACGACAGCTCTGCTGGATGGACTCTGAGGAGAAACACAAGCAAACAACAGAGGACTCAGTGTGGAGATGGGTGGGGAGAAGGTGCTGGTTCTTTCTGTAACATCAGCTACATTGACACATCACACAGTGGAGTTTACTGGTGTGAGTCCAGAGAGGGTCCCATCAGTAACATGGTTAACCTGACAGTCACTGGTAAGCTGAGTGTGTGGAGTTAGTGTTGATGAAGCTGTGTGTAAATGGATGAAATGCTGTAGTTTGTCTCTGTGTTGAGGTGGATCAGTGATCCTGCAGAGTCCTGTCCTCCCTGTGATGGAGGGAGATGACGTCACTCTGCTCTGTAAAACAAAGACCACTCCCTCCAACCTCCCAGCTGCTTTCTATAAAGATGGCTCCCTCATCAGGAACATGACTACAGGTCACATGACCATCCAGCATGTTTCCAGGTCTGATGAAGGCCTCTACAAGTGTGACATCAGCGGTCATGGAGAGTCTCCATCCAGCTGGATCACTGTCACAGGTGACACACTCACCTGTCTGTGTTTCTGCAGGTTTCAACATTCACAATGTGACGACAACTTAATGACTGTGTTTGCTTTGTTTTACATGAACCCACCACCACACCTCCACCTACATCAGCCTCCATTACTACATCCACACCTCCACCTACATCCACACCTCCTCCATCACTGTCCTCCACTGCTCTCTCTGTGTTGTCATTTCTTAAATCGATCTGTGGGTTCTTACTGGTGTTACTGGTTCTGTTAGGGAGACCATGTGTTCACAGGAAGCTTGAAGGTGAGACTCAGACTTTCTATTTCATGGTAAATTATTTTGATGTGATGTTCACTAATATTTTTCTCAGAGTATGAAAGAGTAAATTATTTCGCTGTTCATTCTGACTGATTTCAGCTGATGGGGGAGAAGTTGGAGATAATGACATCACATACAGTGAGAGAAAATCTCAAATCATCGGTGTTCTGCCCTCGCACTTAACTAGGCAGACAGACAACCATCATCCCATGTAGAAAAACCACACCGTTGTTCCTTTCTGGTGGATTTATTTGATTGGATGCATAGCATGGCTTTGTCGAAATACATGAATGGATGAATGGTAAAACTGTAAACAAACACAAAATATCCCATGTGAGCTAATATAAGCAAACATTCTTACAATTAGAAGATGCTATGACCTGTTACTATGCAAAGCAAAGCAGAACGAAACAAGCTAACAAGCTAACGTTAGCGGTTAGCTAGCGCTAATTAGCGTTTAGGCTAATGACTAATAAAGCACATCATTGAGTCAATTTGCTTTCTCAAAATATCACAAACAACACACGGCAGTTAGTGCTAACATAAAACACAACAATACTGCCAACTTACAGACTGTGCTGGCTTAAGAGGTAGCATAGGCAGGCACAGGAGTAGCAAACTGTCCTTCTCCCGTTAGACAGGAAGTAATGAGAAGTAGCACTTCCGGTAAAATGTCAAAATAAAATGAACAGTGTGCCAGAAACGAATAAAGATTGCATGAACTTGTATAACACTACATAACATGAGTGGTGACTCTTAAGGAGCCAGAACACTCCCGCCTGACATCGGTAAGATGTCACACTTGTACCCAAACTAAACTTGTTGCACAGCAGCTGATACAAGAAGAACAACGTCTGTGACTGGCCTAAAGTAAACTTTGGCTTTACCATCTTTCACCACCTTGACTTCTACCTTCCTGACAAGTCCGTCACTACTAGGATGAACCTTTGCAATCACCCCATGGGCCACTGATTTCTCTTCACGAGAGGATCTTTCAGGAGGACCACATCCCCTGCTGCAGGTTTGGTCTGGTGAAATGCCACTTGCGGCGGCATTGCAGTGTTGATAAGTACTCCTTACGCCAGCGATGCCAGAAAGAGTTGGCCAGACTCTGAACTCTTTTCCACTGTTGCCTGTAGAGGTCCTTCTCCCGAAGTCACCTAAGGGTGTTGGAGGTGCACCAACTTTTTGCGTGAGGAGTGTGGCGGAGTAAGGATGCACGGAACATCGGGATCACTTACACTGGAACCAGCGGCCGTGCGTTGATGATGGCGGCCACCTCTGCCATGAAGGTGATCAGGACGTCGTGCGTGAGGGGCCTGGAACCAAGTTGAGCGAGCTGGGAGTCTAATATTTACGTGCCACTCCTATCATCCGCTCCCAACTGCCCCCATGTGAGAAGAGTAGGGAGGGTTGAAGACCCAACTACATCCATGATCATTTAGGAAGGATTTAACACGTGGGTCACAAGGAATCCTTTTGTCAAACCCTAGCTCCCTGGAGGCTCCTGTGAAGTTAGTTCCACAATCCGATCTCAATTGCTTTGCAGGTCCTCTGACTGAAAAGAACCTGCGGAGAGCGTTAATGAAGCTAGACGTGTCCATCCCCTCTATGATCTCAAGGTGAACTGCCCTTGTGCTCATGCAGGTGAACATCACTGCCCATCGTTTGCTGCTGGCAAGTCCGCCCCGAGTACGACGAGAGGCAACAGACCATGGCCCGAACACATCTATGCCTACGTAAGAGAATGGAGGCTCAGCACTAAGGCGTTCTGCAGGAAGATCTGACATTTTTTGGAACTGTGTTACTCCCCTTAGCTTGCGACAAACTACGCATGAGTAAATGAGGCTGCTGATCTGGCGTTTACCTCCTAAGACCCAGTAACCTGCGGATCTTAAAGCACCCTCTGTAAGATGACGCCCCTGGTGCCTGACCCTTTCATGGTAATAGCGGATTAACAGGTTAGTTACATGGTGTTTGTGCGGCATAATCAAGGGGTGTTTTTCTGCGGACTCAAGGTCAGAATGAAGAAGGCGTCCGCCAAGCCTCAGGAGGCCTGATTTGTCAAGGTAGGGAGAAAGCTTTAAGAGAGGGCTTTCTTTGGGATCTCCTTCCTTGACTCTATTTGTTTGAGCTCCTCTGGGAAGCTTCTTGTTGGACTGCTTTTATAACCGTCTCTCTTGCTTGCTCAAATCTGAGGTAGTGAGTTCATGACATATATGCCATCCTTACATTGTCCGCCTGATTGCTTTACCTTAAAGGTGCGTGCAATGTGTGCCAAACGTGCAACTGCCCTGGTAAGGGACTGCCAGCTGGAGAAAGATTCTAAGTTTGCAGTCTTTAAACAGGGGTATGATGTTTGAATGGTGGCAGTGATCAAGGGACGAACTTCAATGTCTGAGTCGGGGTTTTGAAGTTGGAATGTACCTGATGAGTTGCTCTGTAAGGGCTTTAAGGGAAACTCCGGCCCTTTCAACCATGTGCTGGACAACAGTTTTTCGGCAGGTAGAGATCTGGATCCGTGATCGGCCGGGTTGTGCACTGAGGGTACATAGCCCACTGAGTTGGTACTGTTGCTCGTCTGATGCGTTGCACCCGGTTGTTCACGAAAACGTGAAATCTTCTTGCCTCATTGTAGATATAGCCAAGAACGACTTTGCTGTCGGAGAAGAAGCGCATGTTACTAATCTGAATGTCCATTTCATCTCTGATTAGTTCCCCAACTTCCACCGCTAACACCGATGCACACAGCTCGAGCCTGGGAATGGTAAGATCGGGCTTGGGGGCAAGTTTGGCTTTCCCGAATATGAACGCAAACTCTGTCTCACCATTTTTGTTCGTTAACTTCAGGTAAGCCACGGCTGCAATAGCCTGGGTTGATGCATCACAGAAGACACAGATTTCTCTGTGCTTCGCACCAAGAAAGGAGAAGGAGCAGTATGGCCTTGGGATACGGATTGCTCGAGTTGTTTGAGAGCATTCTTCCATTCTGACCACTCCTTAAACATGCCCTCTGGAAGAGTCTCATCCACCCACAAGTCTCTTTTGTCAGCTCCCGCAACAGTGCCCTCCCCTTGATGCTCACTGGCACTGCAAACCCCAGCGGGTCAAAAAGGCTGTTGATAGTGGACAGAACACCTCTTTTCGTGTAAGGCTTTTCGGCTTGAGAGACTCTGAATGTGAAGGTGTCGCCTTCAATGTCCCAACATACTCCTAAGCTTCTCTGCATTGGAGGAAACTCTGTGTTGAAATCTATGTCCTTGAGCCGCTTGCCAAGTCTACAGTAGAGAATGCTTTCATGACATTTGGCTGTTGAAGCTATTTTGTGGAGCCTCAGGTTGGACGCAGCGAGCAGCTCCTGTGTGTCTTTGAGGAGCTTAATTGCCTCTGACTCAGTAGGGAGGGATTTGAGTCCATCGTCGACATAGAAATGTCTTTGAACAAACTGTTTGGCCTCAGAATAGTGCTGTGTGTCGAACAGGTGTGCTGCCTTTCTCAGACCGAAAATTGCCACCGCTGGAGAGGGGCTGTTGCCGAACACGTGCACTTTCATTCTGTACTCGACAACTGGCTCTCTTGGGTCATTGTTGCGGTACCAAAGGAACCGGAGGAAGTTCCTGTGGTCTTCTCGCACCTGAAAGCAGTGGAACATTTGTTGTATGTCCGCTGTGACAGCCACGTTTCTTCTCTGAAACGGATGAGCACCCCAATCAGACTGTTATTCATATTTGGACCTTTGAGCAGCACATCATTTAAGGACACTCCCTGAAACTTAGCACTTGAGTCAAATACCACCCTGATGTTCCCGGGCTTCTGCGGGTGATAAACGCCAAAGAAGGGCAGATACCAGCATTCTTCTCCTTCTTCGAGAGCTGGTGCTGGTTCGGCGTGATCCCTGTCAAACAACCCCTGCATAAAATCCATAAAATGTCTCTCCATCTCAGGGCGTTTATTTAATGTGCGGCGCAACGACTCTAAGCGGCTGAGTGCTTGGTTTCTGTTGTTTGGGAGGTGGGTTCTCGGTGTACGGAAAGGAAGTGGAGCTGTCCAGCTATTTGCATCGTCTTGGTAAAAGTCTCTTTCCATAGTTTCTAGAAAGGCTTGGTCCTCAAAGGAAGGGGCTAGCTCCTCGTCCTTTTCACTTTGCTGGAATATGTGTTTCCCTATTTGACATGAACTGTGAGTGTTCCAGGATTTGTTGTGTGACTGCTCTTTGACATGAAGCTGTTTTGACAGGGTGTTAGGAGACTTGGACGCCCGTTCTCTAGAACACTCGTTCTGTATGTGCCTATGATGGCTGGCTTATGGGCTCCTCCTAGGCATACATCACCTACAATAACCCACCCAAGTGCAAGTCTCTGGGCAAATGGAGCATTGACTGGTCCATTCACTCGTTCATACACTTTGTGCACTTGTATTATGTCTCGGCCTAACAGCAACATAATGTCAGCCTCAGGGTCTAGGGCTGCATATGATCTGCTAGGTGTTTGAGGTGTTGATGGGCTAGGGCAATCTCTTGCGTTGGTATTTCATTCTTGTTGTCTGGGAGTGAGTCACACTCGAGCAAAGAAGGCAGAGGAGAGCTGAACTGGCCATCAACAGACTGTATAAAGAGGTTCTCAGCTAAGCGGCCATTTGTAGTGGAAACCCCTGTACATGTCTTAAGTGTGTATGGCGCTAGGTTGCTC